ACCGGGGTGATAATGGGGGAAGAATTAGCCGAAGCGCAGGAGGGGGGCCTCTCTTCCCGGCCGCCCTTCCGGCAACCGTTCCCTGTGAAATCCGGGGCTCGGGGTGCTTTGAACCCACCCCGACTCTCCAGCTGGGCAGGCGATGGCTACTCTGCACATGCTTGCCTAGCCCTGCCACCTCCCCTCTCTTTCTCTGACCACCATTGCTCAGCTTTTAGCAGGGCCTTCGCAACCTGGTAGCTCCCAAAGTATGCTGGGACTACAGCTCCCAGTATCCCCAGCGGCTCTGCCGGATGGGAGCTCCTGAAGTGGTGCATCAGGTGGGCCTGCAGCTCAGGCAAAGGTGAGGAGGAGGAGGAGGAGGAGGAGGAGGAGGAGGAGGACTCCCTCAATAGCCATGGGAGCTAAAAGAAACCTCCACTGTCAGTGGCAGTCTACCTTTGAATACCAGGGGAGGCCTGCTCTCTTCATGGCCTGCGTGGGAGCTGCTTCTTGGCCCCCCGGTACTCAAAGGTAGACTGCCACTGACAATGGAGGCTTCTCCAAGGACAGATGGCCAGATCCTGCCCCTAAGGCTAGTCATGAAAAAGGAGGCCAGGGACTTAGAGAGCAGATGCCCGAGTCAAATGTGGGGCAAGAGGGAGAGAGGGCACCATCAGGGGATGCTTCTGCCCACTCCTTGAGGCTCTAGGGGTCGGGGTGGCATGCGAGCCCAGGCCCGGCAGGATAAATGGCACTCTGCTTTGCGAGGAACGGGTGAAGTCAAGGGTGCCTCTGAGCACGAGCAGAGCAAGTGCTTGGGCCTGCCTACCTGGCAGAAGTGCTGCCTCCGGAGGAGGGCCCCCTCGGGCCCCCTGGCCCGCAGCTTGAAGAGGTGCAGCTCGGCCGTCAGCACGACCTCGTTCTTGGCCACGCTGGAGAGGAGGAAGAGCAGCCGCGTCTGGTCGCCATGAGCTGAAGTGGAAGCAGAGGGAGGCCGTTGGCCCCGAGCCCCAGAACAGCCCTGCGCGGTAGGCCAGGCAGAGAAAGCGCAGGGAACGCCGGGCTGCAGTTCCCCAAAGCCCCTGCCGGCAGCGCTGATGGGGAGGGACTCGGGGAACAGGCGTCCAGCCGGCAGCACCCGAGGGCATATGCCCTGCACTGACCCCTTCAGCACAGGCCTCACCTGTGCCTGCGGGCGGGACATGAACTGGTCAGCACCCAAATGTTTCCCATTTAACCCAGGTTCTCAATCTTGTAAATCAGCGTTTTCCAACCGTGGCCGCTTTAAGACCTGTGGACTTCAACTCCCAGAATTCCCCAGCCAGCCTTGCTGGCTGGGGAAT